TTTGCATCTAAAAATCAAACTAACAACAGAAGGGAGATGAATGTTACAACCGACACATACCGCCGTGTTACTCAAGGTTTCTGGTTCACGGTGAATTAAGGAGCTTGTGCCAGAATGTAAATCAGTAAGCTGTTTACTTCAGGATGACAAGTTTGCTAGGAAGAAACATGTTAGCTAAACCACCCAATGTGCTTCGTGAAGCCGTTGATTTAGGTCCTGGCCCCAGTTGTTCTCTTTCCCTGGACTGGTACTAAACTGTGCTCCCATCCTCAGGCCACACCTGGACTAGCCTTGTTCCAGCAGTCTGTGTAACGTCTTTCACTTGGGAGAACCTCTTCTCCTTGTGCCAGACCATATTTGGGTCATTCATAGGCAATCTGACATAACAGAGTTTGTTAAACTGATTTCACGCACTTTGTATTCGCATCACATGCAATGACCCAGGATATACCACATTGCTTCCAGCCCTGTCCTTGAAGATGAACGTCTTTGTTAACCTGAATGTTCCTGAGCCTGAAGCTGCCATTTCTCATCACCATGCTCACTGGAGGTGGTGGCAGTGGGGTCTCCCTGCCTCTTTGCAGGGGTCCTTAAACTTTTTTTGCGTGTGCGTGCCATGGATCCCTTGGCAGTCTGTCACATCTATGGGCCCTTTCTCAGAATGATGGTTTTAATGATATAAAATAAAATCTGTAAGGTTACAAAGAAATCAGTTATATAAAAATACACTTATCAAAATTTGAAAACAATTTGTGATAGTAATAGATGTGGTTCATTACTAACACCTCAAATAAAAAAATCTAGCCATTGGTCTAAGAACTACCATCATTTTGAAGTAGTGATGAGCACAAATGACATTATTACATATCTATAATAATTCTAATGAGTTATAAAAACATTGGAGCCCTGGTAGTACAGTGGTTAAGCACTCAGCTGCTCACCGAAAAGTTGGTGATTCAAACCCACCAGCCTCTCCTTGGGAGAAGGATGTAGCAGTCTGCTTCTTAATGATTTACAGCCTTGGCTAATGGGCCACAACTACCACAGCCTCCACCAGACTGAGTCCAACACAACTAGATGGTGGCCGGCTACCACCACCAAATGCTCTGACAGGGATCAAAATAGAGGGTCCCAGACAGAGCTGGAGAAAAATGTAGAAGAAAATTCTAACTTATAAAAAAAAAAACAGACTTATTGGCCTGACAGAGACTGGAGAAACCCTGAGAGTATGACCCTTGGACACCCTTTTAACTCAGTAATGAAGTCACTCCTGAGGTTCACCCTTCAGCCAAAGATTAGACAGCCCCATAAAATAAACAGTAATACATGTAGCTCAAACGTGTACACGAGACTAAATGGGCACATCAGCCCAGGAGCAAGAATGAGAAGGCAGGAGGGGACAGGAAAGCTGGATGAATGGAAATGGGGAACCCAAAGTCAAGAAGGGGAAAGTGTTGACATATTGCAGGGTTGGCAATCAATGTCACAAAACAATATGTATATTAATTGTTTAATGAGAAACTAATTAGCTCTGTAAACCTTTATCTAAAGCACAATAACAAAGAAAAAAAAGCCTACCAGGACCAAATATATATATATTTACAGCCTTGGAAACCCTATAGGGCAGTTCTACTCTGTCCTATACGGTTGCTAGGAGTCAAAATTCGACTCGACGGCAATGGGTTTTGGTATAAAAATGTTTGTGTGTTTTTATTGGTAACAAAGTCACATACTGCTAACACTACTATGGATTGTTGCTTACATTATAATAGAAGGAAATGCTAGAATTTCAGTTAGAGTTTAATGAAAATAAATATGTATTTTTGCCCCTCAAAGTTCAAAGACCCCCTACATTGGAACCCCTTCTTTGGGAATACTAAGCAGGAAAGAGGAGGAGTTCTGAACCTATTTATTACTTTTACTGGGCAAGAGATTTTGGATCCATAATAAAATCCAATTACATTATCAGTCCCTGGTGAATTCTATCATAATTTCCTTTTGCTTTATTTGGAACACAAAGGAGTAAAGTTTCCGCCTAACCTATTTGTGGAAACCTACATTCCACAAAAGGTCCCTAGGTGGCGCAAACAGTTTGTGCTTGACTGCTAACCTAAAGGTTGGCAGTTTGAACCTACCCAGTGATGCTGCAGAAGAAAGACCTGGCAATCTGTTCCTATAAAGATTACAGCCCCGAAAACCCTATGGGGCAGTTCTACTCCATCACATGGGGTCGCTATGAGTCAAAATTGACTCGATGACCCCTAAGAACATGGCCGCTAAGAACAACAACGTTTCCCAGCATTGCCTGAGGATTTTCCCCTGCAAATTATGACCCCAGTAGGTCTGGGGTTTGGCAGGATTTTTGTGATTTTAAAAAGAGGTACAGGTACAGGTGATTTTACCTTTATACTCCATAGGATTGTTTGGCTGATCAGATGTGAACTTGCATGTGAGGTATAAAACATTACTACTAGTAGTGTTACTATTATTTTTAGAATAGACTTGTAACGTATGGGGCTGCCATGAGTCAGGATCAACTCAACAGCAATGGGTTCTATCTGATAGAGAATAGAAAGGAAGAATCAACTAGGAATATTAGGAAAGTGTTAAAAAAAGAATACAGACTTTAATAGGGATGATAGGGAGAAGAGTTATTCAGAAAGAAAAGGGGAGAAAGAAAAGGGACTATGTAATAATCAGGGAGAGAGTCTACTACAATAAAGAGAACACTCCAACCATAAGATCTGCAAGTATCTCAAGGAGCTAGGGAAAAGGCATTTTTCTTCTATAGAGACTGAGAGTAAACAATGGTAGGAAAAAACCTGGTGTGGGGAAGTGGGATGAAAGGGTGATAGTAAATCAGAATGTTTTCTGCTGAGGTCAGCCCATTCTCCAGTAGGGGCCTTGAAAGAGGTGTAGTATGTTGGCTCAGGCTGAGGGTGGACTGAAGTTCAGGGACTTGGGGGAAGGAGAGAATCTTAACCAACATTTAGTTAACAAGCACTTTGCTTCTGATTGATCAGTGGGTACAAGTAACTCAGTTACTCATTTATGAAGGAAGAAATGGTAATTTGGAGGGTTTGTGTCTTGCTTTGTCATAGGTAAACAAGGGGGTATCTGTGAGTCTTATGTAAGTTCTATAGAAAGGGTGGTTATTTGCAATAAGCCATTTCCTGAACACAAAGGGTGGGGAGATTTCTTTAACTATCACTGTTTTCCAATATCACAGGGTTTAGGTAAAATTCAACATTAACAGAAGAAAAATCAATATTATTTCCTAACCTAATACTGGGAATTGGAAAGGGGCATATGGAAGAGTAAGCAGTCAAAGGCTTTGAACCTAGACATTGGGAGAATGAAGGTACATTGACAGAAATGGAATTTCCAGTTGGGAAGGCAGGGCTTGTACTGCCAATGACCCAACCCAATTTGGCACCCAGGGATGCCAAAACAAGAGGCTAATTATAAATGTATAGTCTGGGGCTGATCTGCTGTGTTATATCAGAAAGGTCCATATTCCGGAGGAGGCTTCCACAAGCCCTGCTGCTTTCTCTGTCTCTGATCAACTACCAACACTGACTACAGGGAGCCTTTTCTACTGAAGGAAACTTGCAAGTGAGGTATAAAATATTATTACTACTACTAGGACATCCCTGGATGGAGCAAATCATTAAGCACTTGGCTATTAACTGAAAGTCTGGTGATTTGAGTCCACCAAGAGGTGCCTTGGAAGAAAGGCCTGTGATCTACTTCAGAAAGATAATAGCCATTGAAAACCCTATGAAGCATAGTTCTACTCTGACACACATGAGGTTGACATGAGTCAGAATCAACTGGTTACTGGTGGGCTTCACCTAAATAACACACACACACACAAAACAGCACTGTGTGTGTGTGTTTGTGTGTATACTGAAGTATTTTGAAATAAATTACAGAAATTTTCACAGTTTTTTAATGGAAAATGACTTCCATTTACACAAGCTGAATTAGAAATTTGTTTGAAAAATTGAGTAAGGAGATCTCTTAGGCTGGGTTCTCTAGAGAAGCAAAACCAGTAAAGCATATAAATATATAGAGAGTGAGATTTATATCAAGGAAATGGCTCACGTGGTTGTAGGGGCTGGAATGTCCCAAGTCCATAGGTCAGGATAGAGGCTTCTACTGATTCACGTAGCCCTGGGGCTGGAGAACCCAAGATTGGCAGGGTCAGAAAGACAGGCTCTTGCTCACGGGCTGTGAAGATTGATGAATCCCAAGATTGGCAGGCAAGACTGCAGGTAAGCTGCTAGCTCAAGTCCCAAGAACCTGAGGTCAGATGAACAGGAGCCAGCCGCAGAATGTCCACTTATATTCAATGCAGGCCACATGCCCAAGGAAACTCCATTTCAACTGATTGGCTACTCACACCATCTTACGACTGCCAAACTACTAAGAATCATGGCCAGGCAAGTTGACACACAACCTTAACCATCACAGGAGGTCAGGGTTTTTAGAAGCAGACTTGGGAATGAATGATCTTTGAACAGATGACAATTGAAACCATGGGAACAGGTGAGATTTTCACAAAGTTACTGGGGATGTATGACATTAGCGTGTCTTACTTTTTTTTTTTTTTTTCAAGAGGGTGAGTGTAAAGGGGGAAGAATAGAGGACTAAGAATTCATAGTCCTGTTAAGCAGGAGCAGGTGGTCCCAGTGTTGCTACTCCAGAGAGACCTATGATGCTAAGAACTGTTAAAGGTATGATTCATTTGCTGGTGGAACTCCTGGCAGAGGAGAATGTCAGTAGAGCCGTCTAGGGGAGTCAGATGTAGGACTGAAGAGTGAGTGAGTGGTAAGGAATAGAAGCCAGGAGCACAGACAGCTCTTCAGGAAATCTGGCTTTGAGAGAAGGTGAGATGAGGGGACAGAACAGGAAAGAGTCACAGGATTAGGTTACCAGGTGTGTACGATATTAATGTGCTTTACTTTTTTTCAGTTAAGCTTTTTTAGTGATCAAAAATGAGTGAACAATCAAAAAAAAACAATTCTCAAGAGGGAAATACAGATGAAAGTTCTCCTGAGAAAAACTGTCAAATTGGACAGAAACAACTGGTATGTCATATGGATTTTGTGATTCCAAGTTGTCTTAATTTCTTAGTGCTGTTATAAAAGAAATACCACAAGTGAGTGGCTTTAAGGAACATAAATTTACTTTCTAACAGTTTAGGAGGCTAGAAGTCTGAATTCAGGGCGCCAGTGCTGGGAGAAGATTTTCTGCTTCCGCTGTGGGGAAAATCCTTATCTCAGCTTCTAACATTCTTCTTGGCATTCCTTGGAGAGCTCCATGTGGCATCTATTTTTCCACCACTTTGGTTGCTTCTGCTCTTTTATGTCTCAAAAGTGATTGGTTTAAGACACACCCTACACTGATATGGACTCATTAACCTAACAAAGAAAATCCTACTCCCAAGTGGGATTACATTCACAGCTATAGGGGTTAGGATTTACAACACATATTTTGGGGGGACACAATTCAATCAATATTGCTTGTTATTTGGAAAGTTCCCAACTTGATTCTGAGCTGTCCTTGCATGTGGGTGGGAAGTGGGGCCCAGCCAGCATCCACAGGAGGATCTCTGCTCTCCCATACTAATAGAGCTTTGCTTCCTCTTCACCCTGCTCACCCCTGGCCTAAGCTCACCTCACATTTCTCTGTGCGGCCTCTCAAACCCCTTATAGCACTTTTAGCCCAGTGCTCTGTGCAAAAAAATCCTGCCCTTGACAGAATATTTGTGAAGAATATACTGAAGTGTTTTTGTTTAATAAACCCTCATTTTGTTGTTATTATGTGCTAGTCAGGGCTCCCCATTTTATTTCGAACGATAGAAGTCCCAAAATGGAGACTTTTGAAATTTTCTCCTAAGTCTCTCAAAGTCATTTTAGTGAGATCTTCTCCAAATCTGGCTTTGAGTGAGCATGAACCCTCATGGGGCCACATACTAAACGGGCTGAGAGGGGACCCTTCAGGTGGCTGTGCTCTGAATGGGAGGCCTGGTTAATGAGTAGCCCTAGAGCATATCCCAGAGTACTGAAGGGGAGGGCCATGTATGCTTTTGGTTTTTCCTGTGTTGTGAGGCACTTTACCTGGGCTTCTTCAGCTAGCTGCTGAGGAAGGGCCTATAACTCCCTTGTCTTATTTGCAGTAAAATATTCACTCTGACACCCATCCCTATCCTTATGTTTGAGAAGCTACCTGGTGTTCTGCAGGTATAAAAGGAATTCTTTTGTTCTCACCCCTGTTTTGCATGTAGAATATTTTGAGTTTTATGCTGTGTGTTTCTTCATTCAGAAAGAATGGCTTAATTTGAGAAAATGTACATTATCTTTTAAAGCTTGATTAGATTTTTATCTCTCTATAAAATATCTAGACTTTCATGCCATTATGGTGATACATAGAAAAAGTTCATTTTGAGTCAATGTAAAAACATCTAAAACTATCCAATTCTTACTACTAATGTATTTTATTTGCTTCACAGCAACAAATAGAGCGGCAGTTAAAATGCTTGGCATTTCAAAACCCTGGACCACAGGTAGCAGACTTCAACCCTGAAACAAGGCAGCAGAAAAAGAAAGCACGTATGTCAAAGATGAATGAATATTTTTCTGTGAAATACAAGTAAGATCATGATTTATAAAATTATAAAATACATGAGTTCTCCTTGACAAAGCTAAGTATTATAGGTTACCTCTTTTTCATGATTTAAAAAGATCCTTTATAAATTTTAATAGTACCTCATGTGTCCAGAAGTTAGCAACTTCAAGAAATAGACTATAACCCCAAACTAGGAATCAATTAAAAAAACAAAGCTTCAGACGCCCTTATACAGAGTAATAGCTTTAGTAGAAGAGAGAATTAGAAAAGTAAAAATGTAAAAAAAAAAAAAAAATCAGAAAGAAATAATACAAGGGTGAGAATAGATTCAGGATTTCAAATGGGCACAGACTGATCATTAAATACAATCATTACTATAATGTCAGAGATCTAATACTGTGCAAACCACCAAGGAAAACATTGTTAACTTCAACTATATTAAAATAAAATTATAAATTAATAATTAAGAATTTATGCCCATTAAAAGACACCTTACAAACGTATCACAAAGTGAGAGATTAATATTTATAGCCTAAAAGATTAGTACTCAAAATACATTTTTAAAAACTCTGCAAGTTAATAGGTAAAAGACAAACATCCTAATAGAAAAATGAACAAAACAATGATCAGGCATTTCACAGAAGAAAAAGCTAGTAAGCATAAAGAATCCTGAACATCATCAATACAGTGTGGGGAAGTGCCACACCCCGAGATAGCCAAAAAGTTTAGTCTGATGATATTAATGTTGGTGAGGCTATGGGGCACAAATTGAGTGTAAAATGGTACAACCACTATTTAAAACATCTCACCGTTACATATATATATACATATGTGTGTGTGTGTATATATATATATATATAAAATCTTAGTTATCTAGTACTGCTGTAATAGAAATACCACAAGTGGATGGCTTTAACAAAGAGAAATTTATTCTCTCACAGTCTAGGAGGCTAGAAGTTGGAATTCAGGTCAACTACTCCAGAGGAAGCCTTTCCCTCTCTGTTGGCTCTGGGCGAAGGTCCTTGTCATCAATCTTCCCTGGTCGAAGAGTTCCTCAGCATAGGGACTCTGGGTCCAAAGGACACACTATTTTCCTAGCTCTTATTTCTTGGTGGTATGGGGTCCTAATGTCTCTCTGCTCGCTTATCTCTTTATATCTCAAAAGAAGTTGGCTCAAGACACAACCCAATCCTGTAGATTGAGTCCTGCCTCATCAGCATAACTGCTGCTAATCCCATCTCATCAACATCATAAAGATAGGATTTACAACACATAGGAAAATTACATCAGATGACAAAATGGTGGATAATCACAAAATACTGGGTATCATGGCCTAGCCAAGTTGACCGATATTTTGGGGGGACACAATTCAATCCATGACATATATATTATACATATATACTTTATGACCTAACAATTTCACTCCTGGGTATATACCCTGGAATAACTCCTAAATATATGTATAACAGGAGACAGATATAATAAAGTTTATCACTGATTGTAATAGCAAAAAAAAAAAAAAAAGGTGATAATAATTCAAATGCCCCTCAATAATGGAATAGCTAGGTAACTTGTGGTATATTCATATAGTGGAATATATATGGAAGTAAAAATATTTGAATACAGCTAACTGCACCATTATGGATGGATTTCAAATCACATTGTAAAATAAAAAAGTACATTACAGAAGAAAAAACACAATATGCTTAGAGATACATACATATGAGGCATAACTAAAAGATAAACAAGAAAATTTTTATAAAACGAAGGTGTGCCTCTTTTTAAAGGGGAGGTTACAGGGATGTAATGGGGAGGGACATAGAGAGGACTTCAAATGTATCATACTTTTTAAAATTAAGCTACGCACCCAGAAGTTTGTGCAGTATGTTTTATACACTTTTGTATGTATGATAGTTCATAATTTTACAAAAGATGGCAGTAGGTAGGTATCCAAAAACCAAACTAAACCCATAGCTGTCAAGGAGATTCCAACTCATAGCAACCCTATATGACAGAGTAGAACTCCCCCGTAGGGTTTCTAAGGCTGTAAATCTTTATGGAAGCAGACTGCCACATCTTTCTCCCATAGAGTTGCTGTTGGTTTCAAACCACCAACCTTCCAGTTAGTAGCCGAGTGCTTAACCACTGTGCCACCAGGGCTCCTTATTAGGTAGGTAGGACACTATAAACTCTGTGCCTCAGTGTCTGAGTTAAGGCACAGGAGGGTTTTGTTAAGGCAAAGGGAAATGGGGAGCATCTAACCTGTGCTCTGGGTTGGTTTCAGGAGCACCCACTCTTATCATTCCCATAATCCAAAACCAGTTGTCAGCCAGTTGATTTGGACTCATGGCAACCCCATGTGTGTCAGAGTAGAACTGTACTCCACGGGGTTTCCAAGGGCTGATTTTTCGGAAATAGATCGCCAGGCCTTTCTTCTCAGATATCTCTGTATGACTTGAACCTCCAGCCTTTTGGTTAGCAGCTGAGTGTTGCCACCATCAAGGGACTCTGTCATTCCCATAATAGATTTTACATCTCCTTGCTCGCTGACATCTGATCGGCTTGGGGTGGAGGAGAGGACTCTCATTACGTAGATGAAGCACTTCAAATGTAAATACTCACAGATCAAAACATTGAAAGGCACTCCAACTAACGTGTGATAATCAGACCGCAAGTGTGATAATCAGACCATGATCCTTAACCATTCCCTGCTTTATTAGGAAAGTGGAGAGCATAGAAAGGCATTATGTAACTGAAGTAGGAAGAGAGGAGGTGTTCTACTTGCTTGGGGACAAAGAAGTTCACAATTTCACTGCACTAGCTCAAGACCAGGCTCTTTGACTTCAACTGGTGAAAATGGATAAAAGCTGTACAGAGGTATTTTGTCATTCTAAGGCTCTCAAGCAGCTCAGTTTTGTTTTGTTAATTTTTATCATGATGAAATCTATATATAACAAAACATTTTCCATGCTGTTTTTACATGGTACAATCCAGTGACATTAACTGCACTCACCATGTTGTGCAACCATCTCCATTATTTGTCTCCAAAATTTGTCATCACCCTTAACAGAAACTCAGTACAAGCAGCTCAGTTTTGAAGGATATATTTCAAAATGGTTTGGTTTTGAGAGGGTGGCAGGTTTCTTATGAAAACCCTTTGTCCCTGGAGCAGTTGTACAGACTGACTGAGAAACCGTGGGAACTTGAAGCAAGCTTCTAGACCCTTGGGGTCTCCTCTGATGCAGAACTTCTCGCCTTCCTTCAGAGTCCACGATGTATGATCCCATGATCGTGCTCATCTGATTTCTTACTCCACATTGGGTAAAAACCAGAATCAGAAAGGAACAGAAGCAATGACATCCGGAAAGACTGTTAGCAAAGAAGATTTAAAAAAAAAATGATCATGATGTAGTAGCTCATGGTTCTAATGCTTATCTTGAGTGGTTAAAAAATGTAATTAGATACAGTATAGTGCTTTTAAGAAAGGAAAAAAGTGCAACTTATTAGGGAACGGTTACATCAAGAACAGTTGTATTTTAAAGAAAAATGTAGGGCGTTTGTAGGAGGAAGCTTTAATCAGCTATTCCTCATAGTTAGGTGGGATATGACATTCCCCAGCAAGGCTGGAAAAATGAAGTGCTACTGCCCATGGCAGCCTTGGCCGCATTGGAAATTGATCGAATTGATTGAGTTTCCCAGGACATTTCTGTCACGTAATATTCTGAAGTGTTACCGGGTAATCTCTAGGGTGTCGACCCTCAGAGTAACGGGATCATATTTATGAAGTTTGCTGCGTAATGATTTGTTCTCAAAGTCTAGGAAAATTACACTGTTGTTAGTGTCATTATTTTTCTCTGCAGGGTTATGAGGAAGTATGACAAAAGTGGCAGGCTAATTTGTAACGACACGGACCTGTGTGACTGTCTGGAGAAGAACTGCCTGGGCTGCTTCTACCCCTGCCCCAAGTGTAACTCCAACAAGTGTGGGCCCGAGTGCCGCTGCAACCGCCGGTGGGTGTACGATGCCATTGTCACTGAATCGGGGGAGGTTATCAGCACGCTGCCGTTTGATGTTCCCAACTAGGAGCTGTTACGTATGGACTGAATTTTTTCTTCTTCTCGTACATTTAAGTTGACCTCTTTCTCTTGAGTGAATTTTAGGGCTTGGGGAAAATGTTGGAAAAACCTACTTAAGACTCATGTTCTCTCAAGCAGTAGAACAATACAGAATAGTAGTAATTCTGTAAACTTCTTACTATGTCTTCTCTAATTCCTTAACTTGTGACCAAGAGTGTGACAGTAGATAAATCTCAGGATCTCTCATTGGCTTCCTGAGTCCTGCTCCACCCTCAAATTAAAAAACCTCTTCCCTCTTTTCTGCTACCTGAGAAAATGTAGTTTTAAGATGTTCAGACTTCTGTAACTGAGATTTTCTCACATAGAACATAGAATCATAGCATTTATAATGTTCAGTTACTGTTACTATCTTACACATCAGTAGTTCTAAATTGGAATTGCCATTTGGATTAAAAAAAAACCTTGTGACTTTGCACTGTATATTCATAGTCTCATTTTTTTATTGTTAATGTTTTAATAACATTAAAATCAAATCTGGTAATATTGTTATTATTTGAAACTTGTATTTTGCTTATAACATTGAGAAATTAAGACTTGAGTGTCCTAAAAGCCAGTGGCTTGCCTTTTTTCATTTCAGAATTTTTTTAAAAGGGACAAAACTTAAATTGTTATACAAAAGTGTGTTTGTTATGTGTTTCTTTGAGGGTATTGAGAAGCAATTGACTAAATACGTGATGTGTAGTCTTTTCTATTCCGACATAATGTAGGAAGTTTTATAAAAAGCTGAACTTGGCCTTTGTTGAATTTGTTTTTTATGACAGGGTCTTGTTTACTTTAAGTCAGTAATTCTCATACTTTAGTGTACATAAGAATCACCTGGAGGATTTGTTAAACTGTAGTATTTTTGGGCCCCACCCCCAGAGTTTCTGATTTATTTGCATTTGTAACAAGTGATGTTGCTGCTGCTGGTATGGAAACCACACTTTGAGAACCACTTATGTAAGTTATATTAGATACATAATATAAGGAAGCATTTTTGAATAGAATCATTTGATAATTTAAAAAAATTAGCAAGAGCATTTTGGTTTCAAAGTAAACTTGAAATGTTACAGAGTTTTCAGGGTTTATTTCTTTTCAAAAATCAGATTCAAAAGCACTGATTTCTGCACAAACTGCTTGTGCCAGGGAAGGTTCCTGACAATTCTCAACTTGCTACTTGGTAGTATGTTTTAGGACTAAAGTAACAAGAGCCCTAAAAATAACCCTGTGTCTACAATGCTCCTGTAGGTGTAGCAGGAGAGCTTAGGTTCTTCTGCATTCTTATCCACAGAATTTACTGGGTTTTCCAGATTCAGCTTATTTTACCAAGCATCTACTGCTAACCAAACATTGTGCTAAGTGCTTCCAATTCATTAACTTTAATCATCACAGCCCTGGGAGGAAGATGTAAAATCAAATTCCCCAAGTCAGATCCATTGAAATGCTCACCAGGAACAGACAGCACTCAAACAAGTAAAAAGGAGTGGAATCTTTTTTAGGTGGTTTATATTTTGTTTCATTTTAAGAATAACAATGATTTTATAAATGAATTGTTTTTATTATTTATGTGTTTATTTTAGAATCATATACTTTTGAATCTGGAAGAAACCTTGTCTTAGGCTGGGTTCTCTAGAGAAGCAAAACCAGTAAAGTGTATAAATATATATATAGAGAGAGATTATATCAAGGAAACAGCTCACATGATTGTAGAGGCTAGAACGTCCCAAGTCCGTGGATCAGGGTAAAGGCCTCTCCCAAGTCACACAGCTGCAGAAGCTGGCAAGCCCAGGATCGGAAGGTCGGAGAGCAGGGCTCCCACTCACAGGCTGTGCAGATCGACGAATCCCAGGTTCAGCAGGTAAGCTGACAGCTCAAGTCCCAAGAACAGGAGACGAGACGACAGGAAGCAGCCACAGGATCCAGAGAGAGCAAAAAGCCAGAACGTCTGCTTATATACAGATGTGGGCCACACCCCCCAAGGAGACTCCCTTTCATCTGATTGGCTGCTCACAGTATATTCAATCCTGGGAGTGATTACATTAAAACACGGAGAATCATGGCCCAGCCAAGCTGACACACAGTCTTAACCATCACAAACCTTACAGCTCATCTAAATAGTGAGTTAGTCAACAAATATTAACTGAGAGGCTGCTCTGTGCTAGGCACCAAGCTAGGTGTGGAGGATAATATGTTGTTAGTTGCCATGGAGATGGCTCCAATTAATGGCAACTCTATGTGGAACAGAAGGAAATGTTGCTCAGTCCTGCACCATCTTCACAATCTTTGGTGTGCTCGAGTCCATTGTTGCAGCCACTGTGTATTTGAGTGCCTTCCAACTCGTGGGGCTCACCTTCCAGCACTGTATGGGACAATATTCTCTTGTGATCCATAGGGCTTTCATGGGCTAATTTTCAGAAGTAGATCACCAGCCCTTTACTTCTAGTCTGTATTAGTCTGAAATTTCCTCTGAAAACTGTCCACCATGGGTGACCTTGCTGGTATTTGAAATACAGGTAGCATTGCTTCTGGCCTTATAGGAACATGCAAGCCACCACAGCATGAGAAACTGACAGAGGGGATGATACAGCAGTGAGAAAAACCTACCTGGTTCCTGTCTTCATGGAGTTAATGGGCTAAAACCAAAGGTTTTTTGTATATATTTTTATAATTTATTTCATTTTTGTTATTGTTGAGAATATACATAGCAGAACATATACCAATTCAACAATTTCTGCATGTACATTTAAGTGACATTGATTACATTCTTCAAGTTGTACAACCATTCTCACCCTCCTTTCCCGAGTTGTTCCTCCCCCATTAACATAAACTCACTACCCCCTAAGGCTCCTACCCAATCTTTTGAGTTGATGTTATCAATTTGATCACATATAAATAAATCTTAAAAGAGCATAATGCTCAAGACAGACTTTCTTTACTAATTAAACTAAACTATTATTTGGTTTTAAGAAGACTTCAAGGGATATTTTTGGTTTAAGCGGGTTCATCTAGCCTCCATAGCTCCAGAAATTCTGGATTCTAAGAGAATATTAAATTTTATTCTGCATTTTCCCCCTTTTGATCAGGATTCTTCTATACAGTCTTTGATCAAAATGTTCAGTAGTGGTAGCTGGGCACCATCCAGTTCTAGTCTCATGGCCATATAGACAGATCTTAACAGAGCACAGTACTCAAGGCAGACATTCTTTACTAGTTAAGCTAAGCTATTGTTTGGTTTCAAGAAGACTTCAGGGATATTTTTGATCTAAGGTTTGAGGTTTAAAAACTATCTCAGGGCAATAGTTTCAGTGGTTCAGCCAGCCTCCATGGCTCCAGAGAGTCTGGAGTCCATAAGAATTTTAAATTCTGTTCTACATTTTTTGATCGGGATTCTTCTATAGAATCTTTGATCAAAATGTTCAGTAATGGCAGCTGGTCACCATCTAGTTCTTCTGGTCTCATGGCAAAGGAGGCAGTTGTTCATGGAGGCAATAAGCCATACATTCCATTTCCTCCCCCTATTCCTGACTCTCCTTCTGTTGCTGCAAATGAGTTGTTTTTGTTTTTCTTTGTTGTTTGTTGTTTTTACAACTAAGGCAACTTAGACACAGTGAGATAAAATGACTGCGATAAAGACATAGAGAAGAGCTGGGACCCTAGTGTTTTGAAATCTAAGGTTAGGTCAGTGTTCTTTCCATTATACTATTTCCCAAATTTACCTGATCATAAAATTCATCCAGGTGTGTCTAAATACACATTCCTAAGCCTCATCCCAAAGCTCGAGACTCAGAACTTCCAGAGATGAGGCCTGGGAGTTTTCATTTTTAAACAATCACCCCAGGTAAGTCTCTTGATTAGCTAAGTTTGAGAAACATCAACTTATATCACTAGTTTGTCCTATTTTCATACTATAAAACAAACTTAGGCAAATTAACATTAAAATACCTTTCCCTTCTATCCTCTTGTCATTTAGTCTTAGACATAAGATGAAATAATCTGGTTTAAAATTACCTGGTTTAAAAAGTGTGTTGGTAAGTTACGGAGTCCCTGGATGGCAAATGGTTAATCTGCTTGGCTGCTAATTGAAAGGCTGGATGTTCCATTGGTTCAAGTCCCCCCAGAGGCACCCAGGAAAAAACCCCAGGCGATCTACTTCTGAAAAATCAGCCATTGAAAACTCTATGGAGCACAATTCTAATCTGACACATACGGGGTCACCATGACTCAACAGCAACTGGCAGTGTGGTGGTGACAAATTATGTTGTTAAGTTCTCCAGGTTAAAACAAAAAATAAAGTAAAAAATTATATAATTACTAACCAGACATCTTATATTGCTTTTACAGAAGCCTAGTAAAACACTTGATAAAGTGCTTTTTTAGAAATCAGATTTCGTCTTGATCTAATGTCAATTCAATGCGTTTTAAAAAGCCTCCTGCGCTAAATGATTATCGCAAAACTAAATTTATGTGAATTGTCAGAAACTTATTTTGCAAGTGTCTAATTTTCATCACAATGTGAATAAAGCTCTTTTGTTATTTGAACTAAATTCAGATTAACAAGGAAGGCAGCTGTACTATCTGATTACATTAACCAGGGACATTGTCTTGTCAGTGTAATAGGATTTTCTCTTTATGTTTGGCTATCTTTCAATGCTGATTGTGAGTCTTTATGAATATGTATAGAAATTGTAAGGAAAGCTATTTCACAGAAGGTCATTTAAGTATAAACTGATACATACTGAAGGATTTAGGCAAGTCACACTGTGCTCATTTATGCAAAGATTTCCAACTGGAAGGCCATATCACATCAATTTGTATAATAACTTTGCCTGAGCCTAATTTATTAAAGAATATCCACATAGTATCTGAGATAATCCTTCTTTCCCCCCCCCGCCCATATGATATCCTGGATCCATTACAGGCATAGACAAAGTTTACAAAATACACTCTTAACATTTTTTAAAAATTATTTTCCCCTAATTTTTTTTGGAAATTTTAAACTGGAAGTTTAAAATTTGAAAGGATAGTACAGTAGATCCCTGTACATCCTCCAGACTCACCAGTTGTTAACTTTTTGACACATTCAGTTTATCCCTTTTTCCATCTACATACTTATTGGAGGGGGGATCTGAGCCAAATAAATAGCAAA